GGACCTCGCCGACGCATGTTCGGCGGCGAGCTTCTTCAAGGCGCACCTGTGCCAGGCGGAGGCGGAGCTGCTCGTTGCCATGGGCCACAGGACGGACTTGGAGCACCTCTTGCTCAAGAGGTTCGCCACGTTCAACATCATCGATGTGCCGACCACCGAGCAGGATAAGATGCTCTGCCTCGACATCTCCAAGGAGATGTGGGACCGCCAGAAGGCGGGCACCGTGCAGCTCGAGGACCTCGACGAGCTGCTCGGGTCCAAAGTGAAGCTGGCCAAGCTGGGGCGCTACTCTCGGGAGTAGCCGCTTGCGATGGATAAGGAGGGGGAGAGGAGGTGACTCCTCCCCCCTTCTCCCCCCCCTTCCTCCGCCCCCCTACCCACCCCCCTTCCCGTCCTCATCTAGCTCTTCTTCCCCCCCCTCGCCCCTCGCCCCAGGATGAAGGAGGGGTGGGGGGGCGTCCGTCGCACGCCGCGCTGCAGGGGCGGGGTCCCGCAGCCGCCGTGCTCGCCGACCGCGCTGTGTCGCGACCGCGCGGTCGAGCGGCGTTGGGGTGGCACCGACGTCGGGTGTGATGAGGAAATGGGTTGGGGACGAGTGGCTGGAGGGGCGAAGAGGAGCGAAGGTTGGCCAGGGGGAGCGGGGAGGAGTGAGGGAGGGGGGCCAGAGCAAAACATTGGAGGGAGGGCGAGGGGAAGGATTCGGAAGCGCGAGCCGACGACTGACGTTGAGTCACCGCGCTCCCCCCTCAACCCTCGCCCCCGCCGTCTTCGCCCTGCACCGTCGGCTGCTGTCGTTGGCAGCGGTGGCCGAAGGAAGGTGCAGGATGAAAACGGGTTGTTGTGGCGAGGGATGGGGGGGGGAGCGACGATGACTCAGCGCCCCTTCTTGTATGCGTAGTTCCTCTTCTTCTTCCCCCAGCCTTTGCCTGTCTTTTCGTCGTCCTCGCGCGTCTCATTTCCCCGATGTCTCGCCGCCAGCCCCCCCTCCCGCTCAGTTCCTGCTGGGCGCCTTCCCTCCATGATCAAATGAATGCGGTCACGCAAGTCTTTTGCTTCTCAGTTCTGGTCTTCCGCCTATCAAGCCCGTCTTTTCTTCCTCAATCTTGCCTTCTCCTGGCCAGCTTACGTCGCGCTGGCCCTCCTCGTCTCTCCTCCCTCCTCTCTCCCCCTCCTCCTCCTCCTCCACCCCCCCTCTCCTCCCCTTCCTCCTCTTCCTCCTCCCCCTCCCCCTCCCTTCTCCAATGCTGTGGTTCCTGGGGCGTTCCCTGCCCGTGAGTTTTTCCTCGCGCGTGTTCAACATCTTTGAAATAGCCTCCTGCCCCCGCTGCCCTTTCCTCTTCCTTCCGCTCAGTTTTCTTAGTTTTTTTAAGGGCT